TATCGGACATAAAAAAGTGGTATCGTGCCATCTCTAGTATGTATGAGGAAAAGTCTGCTCCCTTAAATGGCTACCATTATGTTTGTGTTGTGTTGTACCTTGTCTGAGCAGCAGCTGTAGCTTTCCTCTCTCTAACTCCAGGCTGAGGCTGACTCCTTGCTGCCCCTCTGCATGCAGCAGTATCCCAGAATTCCTCAGGGTTTTAAACTTCAGAGAGACAACCTCTTTGGATGTCCGCCACGGCCCGGGACTCAGCCTGTACACCAGGCTGCTGCTGCCACCATTTAGACTCACCACATCAGAGGCTAAAAATCAAGAACAAAAATAGATTTCATGATAAAAGAAACGAGAGCAAAACATCAAAACCAGAATCTTAAGCAAAAGCTTAACAGTTCATATCATATAACCCTGAAACAGACAACAGTCCTTGTGTTTGTGCAATTTTCCTACAGCATCAGATTGTTCAAAGCTCCGACTAATAACTGGGTGTCAGAGTTGCTATTAATGCCATGTAATATTCTAATTCAAGGTTCTTAAATAATGCTTATGCTACCCTGCATAAACTCACAGTTACCCAAACCTGTTACTCATCTACTTGTACCTGTAATTCTGCGGTTGCAGCACACAATTTGTTAAACAGCGAGGGAAAACCTTGCAGCAAGGACTGAATCTGTATTCTGCTTAACACTTTTCATCAAGAAGTCTCAGTTACTGCGTGCTGCTCGCTGGGGATTTGGGCTGAGGTCATGTGAGGAAAACGGTGTGGGTGGTAAAGAATGAACTGCAAATACTAAACTGTTTAAACAGAGCTGCGGCTGAGTTCAGCATCAAAAGCCTTTTCAGTTGTACAACTAATTTCTTCGACTGAATGTTTCTTAATGGACTTGGCAACTCTTTGGCTTCCCAAGACTTACAATCAGCCAACCACTTTGCTTGCAGTAATGCTCTTATTGCATTGTACAGTGTATTTCCTGCTGATTGCAGAGCAGTAGGCTCGGCCTCGGAAGCACTGAGTCATCCTCTGCGACTGAAAGCTGAAAACATTACTTGAAGTCGACTCTGTGGACTATCACGCCATTCTAATTAAGTCCCAGATTACATTTTGTTCTACAATATTACGTATTATGTAATTACAATCAGCCATATCCCTGTAATTATCCCCAGAACATATTGTTGATTATTTTTGTCTCACTACCTGTGTACTGAAATAGCACTGGACATAGTGAGTGCAGTAATTAGCTGGACATAGTTCTACACACATATATTTGATTGATTGCAGTAAGTATCATCATAGAAACACACACATATGACAATGGGAAGAAATTAATAAAAAATACATAAATAGAGGAGACAAGTCCCTTTAGCTCTGCTGTTGCATTCTAGCATCAGTTAATTAGACTGGTATGAATATCATACTTCAAAGACATGTGGTTATCAGCAAAAAGGCCTACAAAATGGACTAGTCTGGCCCATGGGATGGTTTCAGGAATACTGCAGAGAAGATGGGGAAGAATGTTTGTATTTCCCACTGTTTGCTTCATCTGTAGGAAGCATTGGGTTACAGGTTGTTAAGAATAGAGGACGTCAAGGGACTGGTTGTCCAATTCTTAATGTCATTTGAGTCAGAGATCTGAATCATAATCGATGTTTAGCCTTCCTAAAATCAAACTGGACTTGTTGTTCTATAGATCTGGAGGTATTTTTATA